CGAGGGGGCCACAAAGGGCGACAGCGGGGCCACGAAGGGCATGCATATGGGGCCACGACGGGAGCGAGCGGGGGCCACGAAGGGCATTCGTATACGGGGCCGCACAGGGCGACAGCGGGGCCACTGAGGGCAGCAAAGGGGTCACGAAGGGCAGCGATGGGGCCACGAAGGGTGACAACGGGGCTACGAAAGGCATGCGTATGGGGCCACGACGGGCGCGTGCGAGCGGGGGCAACGAAGGGCATATAGTGCGGGGCCACAGAGGGCAGCGACGGGGCCGCTGAGGGCAGCAACGGGGCCGCGAAGGGCAGCAAGCGAAGGCGACCGCGGAACCAGCACGGGCAGCGAGGGGCATCGAAGGCGGGCGCAGGGCAGCGAGCGGCGACTGCAGTCATTAACGGGCGGGCAGGCCCCGACGGGCGGGTCGAGCGGGCGGGTCGTTGAAGCGTGCTTCCTGCTTGAACCACGAGGCAATATGTAGCAGGGGCGCGATTACTGAGTGTCGAGGACCGGCATCTGGATACATTGTGAGGGAATATCAAGCGAAGCGGCTCGGTGGTAAGTTGCGAGGAAGTCCCAAACGAAAGCGCGGTTCCATAATTCGACTCAGTAGCACATTGTCAGGAAGTTTCAGGTGGGAGCCGCGGTTCGGTGGTAAATTGCCAGGGCGTCCAAACCGAGAGCACGATTCTTCAATACATTGTGAGGAAGTCTCAGGCGGGAGCCGTTGTTGCTGTAGCCTGGGGGAGCAACAACGCAGTTTGACCCGGACTAAATTGCAAGGGAGTCTCAAGCGGGAACACCGTTCCTGAGTAAATTGGGGGGAAATCCTAGACTGGAGGGGGGGTCGTGAGAAAATTTGGAGGAAGTCTCAGGCGGGAGCCGTTGTTGTTGTAGTCCGGGGGGCCGAGGGCACAGTTTGACCACCGAGATTTTCCCTGTCCAAAAACACGGTGGGAGCGTCGAGGGGCACACTTTGACTGAGAAAAAACAGCATGCACCGGTAATGAGGGGATCAGCAATAATTATTTTCCAGAAGTGAGAGTTCAACGGTTCCCGCCTGATACTTCCTCACAAGGTATTCCCAAATCGCGCTCTCGCGCGGGACTGTCTCACAATTTGTGCAGACATCGCGCTCTCGCGTGGGATTTCTTCGCAATTTATTCAGACGCCGCGCCCTGGACATTCAGAAGTCACGCTCTCGCTGTGGAGCTCCTCGCGATTGATTTAGGAATGGAGCTGTCGCTCGAGACCTCCTCGTTATTCATGCATGGCGCACGCTTCAGCAGCCCGTCTGTTCGACCTGGCTGCCTGAACCCGCCTTCCGACGCGCCTGGTAGGGTCTACCCGCCCGAATTGCCCGTCTGGTTCTGCCACGTGTTTTCAGCTCCTAGACCCCTAGTCTCTCTCGTGCTCCATCCTCCCCCTTCCCCTTGTCCCTTCCTTCCATCCGTCCTCTCTTCCCCTGCCTCGGGGGCTGCACGAAATACACCTTGCATATAAGAACTGTATACCTCCAAGGCGGTACGGTCTGAGACGAAGAGGTCGGGTATCGAGGGTTCGGGATATACGTGTTGAGTGGCACGCGAGCAGATAAGAGCGAACAATCTTGAACTGATTGTTGTTGTTGTTGTTGTTGCTGTTGTTGTTGTTGTTGTTGTTGTTGTTGTTGTTGTTGTTGTTGTTGTTGTTGTTGTTGTTGTTGTTGTTGTTGTTTGTTGTTGATATCGTGGATGTTGTTGTTGGGTGATGCGGATGCGGATGCTGATGCTGCTGCTGATGATGATGGCGATAACGCTGGCGACGACGACGGTGATGAAGATGACGATGAGGCTGATGATGATGATGGCAATGACGATGCCGATGCCGATGATGATCATGATGATGATGATGGTGGTGGTGATGATGAGGCTAATGGTGGTGGTGTTGGGTTTGGGGGTGGGTTTGGTGATGGCATTGGTAGTAGCAGTGATGGTGTTGATGATAGCGATTCTGATGATGCTGATGCTGGCGACGATGCTGATGATGATAATGATGATGATGATGATGATGATGATGATGATGATGATGGTGACAAGGGGGATGATGCTGACGATGATGATGATGCCTGTGGTGGTAATGATGAGGTGGATTCTCATGTTGATGTTGTTGACTGTTGATGATCATTGTGATTGTGGCGGGGGTAGGGGTAGGGGTGGTGATGGTGATGGTGACGGCAGTGATGGTGAGGCTGGTGGTGATGATGACGATGGTGGTTGTCATGATGGTGGCGACGACGGTGACGACGATGACGAGGATGATGATGGCGACGACGAGGATGCATATCAAGACCACGTTGAACCTGACGATGACCGTGAATACGAAGCTGCTGCTGCTGATGCTGTTACTGATAATGATGGTGGTGGCCGTGTTAGTGTTAGTGGTGTTGGTGATGAGGGGGGGAGGGTGGACGATGCCGATGAGGATGATGCTGATGATGATTATGATGCTTCTGATACTTATGATGATGATCTTGGTGATTGATGGTGATGCTTAGATTTATCACGATGATCATGATGGTGACGACGACCACGATCATGAAAATGCTGCCGGTGATTGTGATGTTTCGGCGTATGATGCTGCTGATTACGATGAGAAAAATGATGCTCATGATGTCGATGATGAGAACCTGATCATGATGTTGATGCTGCTTTTTTTTGACGCCGAGGATCATGATGCCGATGATGCTGATTCTGCTCATGATGACGGTTATGATGATGCTGATGATGATGCTCATGCTGCTGCTGATGATGTTGATGCTGATGCTGACGATGATAAGTCTGATGGTAATGATGT